TCAAGAAAAAAAGGGAGGAGAGAGAAAGTATGATCAGTGGTAGGGTACCCCCCCAGTGGTGAAATATGAAGAGGATTTGAGTTTAATTCTAATAAAATTAAGTAATCTTTTGAAATAAAATAATTCAAATGATCATAATAATGTAAACTTTCATCAAAATAACTAAAATTATGAATATAACTAAAAAAAATGAAATAAAAACAAAAATTATCATTTGGAAGTAAAATAGGAAAATGATTTTTATTTCTATCCTTAATAAAAATTGAGTGATCTATCAAACTAAATGAATTTGAATAATCTTAATGAAGTTAAATTTCAGTGGAAACATTAAAATTTCACGAGCAACAACTAAAAAAGTGAAATCAATGCACAAACTTGACCTCTACAATAAAAAGTGAAATCAAATTGGCAAGTGCCCATGTTGCATCACTCATCTCTAGTTGTCACCTATAGAGAATTCTACTAAAAATCTTTTCAAATTCATGGACTCACTTATTATTCACATCTAAAAACCTTCCTCCATTTTTCCTAGAGCTTTCTTCTAATCTTCATGCGAAAATCTTAACAATTACTAAAAAATTCTGAATTCTCTTTATTTGTTTCAGTGCCCAAAATTTTATGGTAGTTTGTGTATGTGTATGAAGTAGCACAAAATGTTGAGCTCTTCCCTTGTTGACATATGCTGACATGGGCTATAAACCCTTGACATGTCCTCCTATTAATGTAGCCATGTATTGCTGCATATTTTGGTAATTATTTTCTTAAATTTTAAATTACTTAAAATTACTAGAAAATATCTTCATAAATTTCTTGAAAAATATATTTTTTATATTTTAACTTCACCATTAATTTTGTTAATTTAAAAAATAAAAATATATTCATATACCATCTTAATATATTATGAAAGTTATCAAATTAAATGTAAACTAATCACAATTTCAAAATCAGTAATAATATATTTTAACATTAATAATTAGTATTTAACATTTATTACCTAGAAATTGGTTTTATTTTAGCTTAATTATTATATAAAAGTAAATCATTATCACATCCCGTAATGAAAATCATTCCAAGTTCCTTAGCAATAGACATAGAGAATAATTTATGATTAAGAGTCATTCAAAACCTCAGATTTAAATGCATGAATGGTTTTAGATGGAAGTACTTGGCTTAGACATTGAGTAAGTTATGATAACAAGCTTCGACGATAAACTTTTATCTCTATTTTTTAAATACTCTTAAAAATGGCATTCAAAATTTCACATCCTAGAATCATCACTTATAACCAACAAATATGAGTCACCATATGTTTGACAAATTATACAACCACTTAATAATGTTATTCATTCTATAATTCTGAATCATGTACCTCATGATTTCAAGTTTATTTACCTTTTATTTATAATGAAATTATACAATGGGGACATATAGTTGTTTCCTCATTTTTTTTTTTCTAATGAGAGGAGAGTGGATCATCACTTCTCTTGTCTAATGACCTGACTTTTTGAGCTTTCACATTGTCTTATTCTTTTTTCAACTAGACATGTAGCTTTTTCTCATAACGTTTTCTTCTTCTTTTCCTTCTTTTTTGCAATGAGAGGAGAGTGTATGAGTACTTTCTTTATCTAATGCCTTACTTTTGGAGCTTTAAATTTTCATTTTTATTTACTAATAGATATTAGACCAGACATTTCAATTCTCCTCATGATGATTTTAGCTGAAAATATAGAATATGAATAAAACTTGTGTTTAATAAAATTTTAAATTCTAAAATAATTCTATTGAATGTTTAAAAACTAAATATTGAGTGTTTATTTTTTCATTAGTTAATGTCAATGGCTCAATTCTTATATTTAAGTGTTTTTTTCTTACTATGATGTTACTTGAAAATTCCTTCTAACTTAAAAAAAATTGATTATCTCAATTTCATAAACATGTTTTTAAAATCTTAAATGTAACTTTTCCAGCTTAATGACTTTTCAAACTAAAATTGATTTTCAAAACTTAAATGAGAAATAATTAGATTTATTCTTTCAACTTTAATCACTAAAATAGAAATAGTTTATTGTTTAAAATTGAATAATTATAAATTCTTAGGTAATGCATATTAATAATGTCAAGTGTCTAGATTATAATTTAATGAAAATATTTGCAGCTGATGTTTTGAATTCTAAAGTTATCATGAATTTTCTGCCATAAATTATTATTTTATTTTATGTTGTTGAAAATGTCAATAATTATTAAGAATGACAATGATTCAAAGTAATGATTTGGGTATTGTATTATGTGTATAATATTTTAAATAAAATATCAATATGAAAATCTAATTGATATAATAGATGCCCATCTTTTGAAAGTATTTCCCTTCTAATCATTTTCGATTGAGTTAATTGATTGAATAAGAACTATTTAAATGTTATTATATTTTTTTAAATATTTTTTTGCATTAATTAAGAAATAAAATTTTAATATCATATGTTGATAAAGTAATAATTTCAAATATTGATCTGAAGAGAGTATCTCTACCTGAAACTTGTTTTATTTGAGGTGTTTTTGATTTTACTAAATTTCAAAGTTATTACTCTATTTTAAGATACATTTATAGTTGAATTTTAAATAATAACAGATTTACACTAGATGTGCCTTATGTGATAGCATCAAAGATATATGCCAAAACTTAATGATTACATTTATTTGTTAACTTTAGAGGATATCAACAATTGAAGGATGTGTTGCGTTACTATCCACCAGTTCGAATTCCCAACTATTTTGAGACGTTAATATTAGATAATGACAAAAGAAGGGGAAATCCTAGTTTGAGTTTCTTTATAACATTAACCATTATATAATGGCTAATAAATTTAAAATGATCATATTCTTGATCACTCTATGATTTTGAAATTCCTTCTATTGATTTTTTGGAAATATTTTCATGAAACTTGAGTGGTCTTTAAAGCTGGATTCCATAGCAAGAAGACAATGTGTTGAGAAATAATTCTTGATTGAAAAATCATATTTCCCAAGTTGATTTCATCAACTTTGTCTTCTGCAATTAGATAGTTTCTAGATATGAAGAGGGGGGAAATCTGGTAGAATTAAAATATCTATCTCCAAATATGGGATGAGTTTCAAGTCTTCACCAAATATAAGAAAAAAATATTAGTGTTTCATATTACATTCCTCAAGAAGAGTTTGAGCCATGTAATACATTGTGGCCCACTTGGAACTTGATATCTACAAGATAATTTTGGGGTGAATTATAAGAGATATATCTCAATAATAAGTGGTTGGCACTAGATATTGATTTTATATAACCCAAGAATGGAGTGTTCTTTAAGACTGGGCATAGGCAACGAGCTGAACCATTATAAGAATCTTGGTATCCTTAAGATCATGAAAATTAGAATAGTTTTCCTAAATTCAGAATTAAGAAAAAATTAATTTCACCCCCTGTTCATGGTCTAAGTGCAACCTAAAAATCCAATAATTGGACTATCAGATTTTGTCTTGAGATTTTGCTTCCCTATAGTGACTAATTTAACTTATATGTTTCTATCATCCTACTCTAACATTTTAACGTTCTTATAGCATTGGTTGAAGTGTTTTATGCTCCATACGTATTGTGTTAAAATATTGGTATGTTGTGCATCACTAATGATGTTAGTTTAACAACATGATGACTTCTTTGACATGCAAAGTTTGATGCCCTTGTTGGATTATGTTGTTTAAGGTACTGGTTTATAAAATTCTTAAATTGGCTGAGGTAGATGTTGGATTCCCATGTTACATCTTTGTGAGTATCTTTACTACTTGATGAGGAAGCAGACATGCAAATTATAATGGTATCATAACTGCTTCTACTATGATGAAAAAATGAGCATGCAAAGTTAGTCATGCCCATTTAGGAGAATTCTTCTATGTGTACTCTTTGTCCACATTTTATGCCTTTCACAGTGAGATGTGGAAGATTAAATAGATTGCTAATTTTCAAAGAAAATTGAGTTCGTAAACTAGTCAACCTATCCATGTTACAATCTCAAATGGACCATCAAAGCACAACACTAGGCCTCTAATAGTGTTTTTGTTGAATGTCATTTATGTAAGGATCTTCATTAAGGCTAGGAGAATACAATTGAGAATGTTAAATTCATACTTCATTTTGGCATTAGTTTGCATTCTCTTTATACATTACACTATTCCTACCAATGCTTTGTTCACTTGTATTACACATACTGATCATAATTGGGCAAGCCTGCATATTGCTAGGTAGTGTGTCAATCTCATTTTTTCAAGTTTTGATGGGTTTCACAACTATTGTCTCATCACGAGTCAAACAATCCATTGTTAGACTCCAGTGCAAATTGAATAAAAAGTGGACAACTTCTTAGAGCTTTATCAAATTTTCTTAATTTTGTGTACTCTAATGAAGGGTGTTCTTCCAACATTGTAGGTCATCTCTCTATAGGTGTTAGCTTTAAGAGAATTTGAGTCATGTAATATTCTCAAAAAAGAGTGCCATCTAAATCTGCTTGTGAGTCGAATGTCTCAATTGATAATAATGTACTTTAATAATCCTTCAAATTTGATCATGTTGGACTTGAGCTTTGGTGCTACAGATTTTGCCTTCATATCTGTGTGAATCGACACAAATATTGCATGCTTTGAGAGACAATCAATGATGACAAAGATTGCACAATAACTCTTTACTCTCCTTTGAATAACTATTAAGTCCATCGAAATAAACTTTCACGGTCAACTTAAAATTGAGAAGCACATTAATATGTTTAACTTGTCCTACTAATGGATTAAATGGATATAGCTTACACGTCTTCGTCCTTCTATGACCAATAGAAATCAAATTCTTGAGTCAATGTGCACTTTTGTCCTAAGTATCACACATCATGTGTTTTGTGTGCCTCACACAATAGACAACGATGTAGCTTGCCTGCTCATTGGCCACATGTATGCAATACCATATTATTTATTGACAGCATTATGTCTCAATTGTAGCTGTGTGCTTGGTTGTAAAAGGTACACTATTGATTACAAAGATCAGATCCCTTGAGTGATTAAAATAATATTCAATTATAAGTTATTCTCAAACAAAATTTGGAAGAATATTATCATAGAAAATTTCTGGTAGTTCATGTTGACTTTAGAATTGACTTAGGAATATCATCATAAAAAAATGATGAACTATATGTTAAATTATGATTGATTTTGTTTCTCCTCTTCATATGAAGCTATGATAATATGAAAGACATCAGTACTTCAATTACATAGATGATAATTGGTTTTCAATCAATTCTTTTTCCTTGACTGGTGGTCTTCTTGACATTGGACCAAGGTTCAAGGAACTACTCTAATTTACACATAATTCTTTGCATAAAATGTTAGAAAGATTCTTCAAAAAGTAAACAAGTTGGAGATGATTGTCATTAATAAATTAACTATTTGAGAGAGGTTGAATTTATAAGTAATTATGATCCAAAAAACCTCCTCTATTTTTCATATTTTCTCAATGTTAAAATCCTAAAAATAGTTAAAAATTCAAATGGATTTGGATGTCCTCGAATGTAAAACCAATATGCATGACTGTTAGGCGCTCATCTATATATCCAAAACTTATTTGCTCTTCGATAGGAATCTGCTATTATTAAAATAGAACCAAAATACAGTTGAAATAAAGTACTGAATTTACATTCAAAATTAATCCAAATTGCTTCAAATAAATTATGAATATAAAGTAGTTATAGTAACTCTTGATTTCAATACAAACCATCATTTCAATGAAATGATATTTTAAGATTATATTTTAATTAATATTTATTAATACTCTGAAAATTACAAGTACCCTTTTAAAGAGTTCAAATTTGATCAAGTAATTCAACATCAATATAATCAAAAGTATTGATTTTGTATCATAGAAAACTAGTATGATGGATAGGCTTTCACGCTTTTATTTTACTTCAACAATCTCATTAAATCTAATGTATCAATAACTATGAGTGTCAATTCTTGTGAATATTCATATTTATCACAGTAATAAATAAAGCAATAATTTTATGAGATAAATTCATCTAAATTAAAGGATTCAAAAGCATGAGAGTCAAATATATATTCATTGAGGCACTCTTGGAGATCAGACTTTGTACCAACCATAAGAAGCTTTGTATGACGAGGACATTGGGTTTTGAGATATAGGGGATAATGTCACACACCTAAAGAGAGTCGTGGTTGGGCCCACAATAAGAACCTGCGCCACCAAAGCAATAAGATTATTACTCCCCTGCGAGTCAAAAAACTTTTGGTGTCGCAACGACGACCAACGCCGCACGGGGTGAAGCAAGAGAGGTGTGTATTCCTGTCCACCGGTGTGACAAAGCAGCCTGGGGGTCACCTCCCCCCGCCGATGACATCGTGGAACATCGCGTCGGCCAGCCTGGGCAAGATCATGTTGCTCGGACGCGACGGTGCGTTGACCTGGCTGGTGCTTGCGGACAACTGGTCTGGGCCGAGGTAGTCCCTGCTGGCGAAGGCGGTATTAAGGTCGCTGAACTGCCAGTCGGCAAGGTACCCAGGCTTCGACCACACCTTCCCCACCTCCACGTCGCCGGTGAGCATCGCCACCACCCGCGACATCGGCGGCTGCAGCGACGGCGCCGTCTGTGTGCAGAGCAGCGCCACGCCGATTACCGCGAGCACCTCCTCGTTGTACCAGGAAGCGACGGGTCCACCAGCTCCAGCTCCCGATTGCTCTGGTGCAGCCGCCACGCCTGGGTAGAGACAGAAAGAGAGAAAACCAAGCGTCATCATCTACCCGCCTCAAACAAGGAAAGGTTTTTTTCTCCACCCTCTTTCCACGCGCCCATTCGAGGAGATAGAATTCGTCCTGCGGTAGGCTCGTGTCCGCGTTGAGCCTGCCGTAGACGATCTTCAGGGCCAGCACGCCGAATCCGAACACGTCCACCTTCTGCGTCAGGTGCCCCCTCATCGCGTATACTCCGGAGCCAGGTAACCCACTGTGCAGAAGAGATAGAAGAGAGAAGATCAGGAGAACCTTGGAAGGGTAGAGAGATGGAGGATTGAGTTTTGATTCGTCTGAGGGGTGCTGACATTGTGCCGCGACGCCGGTGCTGATGTGGGTCTTCTTGTCATCGTAGAGCTTGGCGAGGCCAAAGTCAGAGATCTTGGGGTTGAGCTCAGCGTCGAGGAGGATGTTGCTGGCCTTTGAAGGAAAATAATGGGAGGGAAACTTGGAGAGAATATATTGATTTTGTTGAAATAATGGTCGAAGGAGAAAGAGAGAAGAAAATGAATTTCGCACACAAAAACCTTAAGATGATAATATAGTAGATTATTATTTTTTAGAAGCTTATGAAATTGCATTTAAACCAAATCTGAAAACAAAACTACTTTATTTTTTCTGTCACCAAGAGAACCTATCCAATCACTATCTGAATAACGAGATAAATTAAATTCAGAAACATGTTGATATAAAAATTCATAATTGATAGTCCCGTGAATATATCAAAGTATTCTCTTTGTTTCTCTAAGATGATGAACTGATGGTGAATATATAAATCTTGAAATCAGATTAATTAAAAATAATATATCTGGTTGACTATGAGTTAAATACATCAAACCACCAACCATACTTCTATAAAAATGTTCATTCATTTTGCAGTCCTATTAACAAGACATAATTTATCATTATATTCATAGGACTAGAACAAGTCTTGCAATGAAACATACTAAATTTTTTGAGTGAGTCACATGCATATTTTTCGTGAGAAATAAATATATCATAATCTTTTTGAATGATTTAAAGTCTAAGAAAATAATGAAGTAATCTCAAGTTTGTCATATCAAATTCAATCATCATATAATTCTTGAAATCTGAAATTAGTGACAAAGATAATCCAATATGTATATTATTTTGAATATTGATATAAAGTGTTGCCTCGTTATCACTTATATGAAAACGATAATTATGAAAATATGAATCAAGCCTACTATCATGCTCTAAGCACTTGCTTAAGGCCATAGATTACCTTCTTCAATGTATAAACTTTGTTCTCTCTCCCTTTAATGATAAAACCTTGTTGCCGCTCAACATACACATCTTCATTCAAATAACCATTCAAAAATACTAATTTAACATCAAATTAATCTACCTTCTATTTCATTTGTGCTGCTAAAGCCAACATAATACAGATTGTTTCAAGTCTTGCTACTGGAGAAAAAGTTTCAAAATAATTAATACTTTGTTGTTGTGTATATTCATTCACTACTAATCTTGACTTTAATTTTTGAATATTACCATCAGGTTTATACTTTGGCTTATAAACCCACTCGACTCTAATTGTTTGTCTTTGGTGACAAATTCATCAATTCTCATGTGTCATTCTTCTCAATTGTTGTAATTTCTTCTTAGATTATTTTTTCCATTCATCTTTGCCTTGTGCTTCTTCATAGTTTGTTAGCTCTACAATCATAAGAGCAAAAATACAAGATTCATAAATATTTCTCAAGGATCTCATCCTCTTTAGAGGACTTGACAATTCTAGACTTGAATCATTGTAGCCATTAGGACCACTTGAATCACTTGGAGAAAGTTTCCAAGGTGAGATAGATGATGTAGAAGTTTCACCCATTGAATCTTGAGTAGTTTGCATAATTTCCTACTCATGTTCACAAAAATTGTTCGAGCGTATTAGATTTGTATTCTAATTCCAACAAGTATATTCATTAAATATAACATCATGGCGAATCAATAACTTCTTTGTTTCAGAATAATATAAATGATAACCCTTAGTTTCATCACTATAACTAAGAAAAATACATTTCTTGTTCTTTTTGTCATCTTATCACAATCATTAGTATCAATTAAAGTATAAGAAATACAATCAAAAACTTTCAAATGACTAATATTAGGTTTTCAATGATACCAAACTTCATGAGTCATATTCATCAATGTCTTTGTAGAAGAAATGTTCAAAAGAAAAATGGATGTTATAACAGCTTCAGCCCAAAAATCATTAGGAAGATGCTTCTCATTAAGCATACTTCTAGTCATTTCCACAGTTATTTTATTTTTTCTTTCAGAAATATCATTTTGCTTCGGATTTTTTATAATAGTGAGCTATCTTTTAATTGATGTTTCTTACAAAATGACTCAAACTCATGAGAAATAAACTCTCCCCCTCTATTCGTTTGAATAGTTTTAATAAAATATCTACTTGATTTTTTAACGGAAACATTCAAATAAATAAATTTCTCAAATATTTCAGATTTATGAGAAATAAAATATACCTATTTCATGCATGTAAAGTCATCAATAATCAATAAGAAACATTGATTGTCATTCAAATATGTTATCCTCATTGGACCACATAAATCAGTATGTAATAACTCAAGAGAAAATCTTGCTCTCCAAGATTTTTCTATTAGAAAGATAGTCAATACTACTTGGTATAAATACGTCATTCACATACTTTGTTATTTGTTGAAATAGAGGGTAAATTAGAAACCATATGCTTATGTTGTAATAACTTCAATAGATTAAAATGTAAATGTCCATAACACAAATGCCAAAATGAAGATGAATCGTTTTATTTTATAATCATGCAAAAATTAATGAGTTTTGAAATATAAAGAGAAAATATTCTTTTTCTAAACTTAGGAATCACCACAACAGACGTCACTTTTCTTGTGCTTAATAATATATATATCATCTTCAAAATGAACAATAAAGTCACATTCCAATAATTGACCCATCCTAAACAAGTTATGTATCAACTTTGGAATGAAATAAACATCATGAATCAATGTATTTTCACCTGATTTTATATGAATAGAAACAATACCAATGCTTTCAATTCTCACACTATTTTAATCACTAATAGTAACATCACAAATCATAGAAGTATTAACATTCTGAAATATTTCATGTCATATGATTGCTGCAACCACTATCAATAAATCATATATTTGAGTTACTTGAGTTTGAAGGTACCTAAGTCATAAATAACTTGTTTTGGTCATTTTCTTTAATAATATATATTTATTTTCTTTTCTTGTCCCAAAAATTTACTTCAATATGACTATACTTCTTACAAAAATTACACATTAGTTTCAAACTTCTTACTCTCATATTTTCTTGTTATTTTTTTTTGTCTCAATAATAATATGCTTCAATATGACCATATTTCTTACAAAAATGACTTTGCATAATTTTATAATTTGGTTTCTGATTTTGTTATTTTCCACCATCAATTTTTTGCTGCCCATAATGTGATCTACCATGTCTGTAATTTGATAGTGTCCTCTACCACGGCCTCCTTCATTGTATGTGCCTTCGCTATTTTTCTCTTTCTTTGAAATTTCAATCTTAGCTTGAAATGCTTATTTATGTGATTTTTCTGTTGGTCTATTCATTTGTTCTTCATGTGTTAATAGTGCTCCAATTAATCATTTTGTGCATAAATAGGTAAGTCCTTATATTGTTCAATGACAACAACATATATGATCAAATTTAGAAGACAAACTTCTTAAAACAAAATCTGGAATTCTCTTTTTTGAAATATCTTCTCAAGATATTCTCATCTCGTTCATAAAATAGATATTCGAGAAAAGAAATCATACACTGATTCATCAGATTTCATAAAAATATTTTCATACTCTATACAAAGGATTTGAAGTTTTCCATTCATAACTCTATTGTCCTATTAAATTCATCTTTTAAGATTTTCCTTGCTTCAAAAGAACTCATGGTTGTTGTAAAACTAAATTGTTGTAAAACTAATAATGCCTTATCATCATTTTTTTGAAAATATTTATTTTTTCTTTAAAACTTTATACTTCTTTATTACCATTCTCAACAAACTCCCATGAATCTTGTGAAATGAAAAATATCTTCATTTTAACCCACCACAAATCATACTTCTCTCCATTGAAAAATTAGAGATTGTGAGAGGTTGAGGGGGTTACTATTTGTCATTCTTACAGTCAATGGTAATACATCTTCACATAAATTTTGATTTGAATCTTCAGACTCTTTACTACAACAAGACATCGTCAAAACTCTCAAAAATCTTCACCAAGCTCAACTTTTTCTCTTTAGATGTTGATATGTTTTCCACAAAAGACCAACACCCAATTCACAAACTTGGCTCTAATACCACTTGAAGGAAAATAATAGGAAGGAAACTTAAAAAGAATATATTGATTTTGTGGAAAGAATGATGGAAGGCAGAAGAGAGAAGAAAATAATTTTTGTCTGCACCAAAACCCTATAAACCTGTTGGCTGAACCATTCAAGGAGAAGTTATTAGCCACCAAGTTCCTAGAGCAAAAGAGTCGCAAATGAATCCACTGCAGGAGAAACTAGCTTGGGCGTCTGACTGAATAATAAGTGACATACAGAATACATGGAAGAGAGGACAAGAAACCTGAATGGAGGCCTATTTATCTCAAGTATCTCTCCTTTATGTTGGAACCAGAATTAAATATTAAATTTTTTTGGAAAGACACAGTACAATGAAAACCACTTACAGTTACAAATTATTCTCCGAAACCCAAGATGGAAAGCCTTTTGAGAATTTATTATATGACAGATCTCTGTAAGAAAGATTGCAACGAGTCAGCATATATGAACAAGAAGAGAGTAGCTGGGTGAGTTCAGTCATTAGAATATTGTCATGAGAGTGATCAAGAAAGACATCATTGGAAGATCAAGCACGGGCATACTAATAAGATCACCAGAAACCAAGTAGTAGCCCCAAATGAAAATTTACATAGCAGTAGCAGCACATGAAAATTTACATAGCAGTATCAGCACATGGAAATTTACATAGCAGTAGCAGCACATGGAAATTTACATAGCATTTCAGCCCCTTTATATTCTTCTAAAATTAAAATTGACCCATATAGGCTATTTTTCTCAGAAAAGGTGGATTCAGTTATATTTTCTGTGGACAAGGTGGTACTTAA